GATGAAAGTTTACTTCAATGTAAAAATTTATTTCAATTAAGTCTTATGAAAGAACTGAAATCCATATGTAAAAATATTGTTAATGAAAATCAACAAATTTTAAATAATCAAGGTAAAAAATTACTTGTAAATTTATTTGAAAATCATCGAATTAAATGTAATCAAATAAGATTTGGTCAAACATCAACAAATCTTCTTGTTGATGTTTATATGAAAGAATTCTTAAAAGATGCTCTACAAAAATTACATTTACTTGCAACTGATTTAATTAATAAAGCTCATCAAAAATATGATGAAAATACTCAACAAAAACATTATGCAGAATTTCGAGGAAAAATTCGTAAAAATATTGAACCATCAATTCGTAGTGTCGAATTTCTATTAGAACAACAATTTCGTAATGATGCTTATGTAGAACTTCGAGAAAATGCAGCTATACAAATTCAAAAACAATTAATTCATAGTGCAAAACAAGTTTTTGATCGTGAAACACGTAAAAATACAGATATCAATGATTTAAATGATGTTCTTAATGAAAAACATAAAGAATTACGAAAAGAATTTCAAAATAGTTTAGAATCATTAAGAAAATCTTATAATGAAATTACAGAAACAATTTTAAATATCTACAATCAAATTGTTGAATCACGCCGTGCAAATGCAAATCCAAATGATATTTATAATCTATGTCCTTATCTTAATTCTAATGGATTTCATGAACAAAATAAACAACTTGAGAAAATTTTTCAAGCATTACATTTAGTTTCACAAAAAACAACAAAAAAAGAAAGTTTTTGGGCAAGAATATTTCATGGTACACCAAAGGAATGGTGTCATCATCAAGAACAACTTCGATGGTTTTCTCATACTTATGATCATGAAAAAAATCAAGAAATTTATACAAAAATTATCGAAAATCTTCTTCCTCAATTAGAATCAAATCTTCGTAGAATGTTATTAACATTAAAACTTGCTTATTCTGATCCTCAAACAATAATTGCTCTTATTGATTATGTTAATAATTCTATGATGGGACAAACATCATGTATTCAAGAAAATTTTCAATATTTTAATTTAGCTATTTTTACTCGTGATTTAATTGTAATTGCTCTTAAATTATTAATTGATGAAGCATATAAAATAGTTGATGAAAAACATCAAGAATTTAGTCGAGCATTAAAAGATCTTGATCGATGGAAAGAAAGTATTTTACAACAATTTGAATGTATTCGAAATTCTTATGAACAAGGAAGAAAATTTCGAGAAGATCTTACAAAACAAATTCTTGAACAAACTGTCAAATATTTCAAAAGACAAATTCTTACAGAAATTCATGAAAAAATTACAGGAAATTCTCGAATTGATCCAGAAAAAATTGCTTGTGAAGCTTATGAAACAAGTATTGATTCAAATCCTCCTAATGGAGAAAATATTCTAAAATATGTTCTTGATATAAATCAATATTATCTTGAAATAGCATTGAAAAAATTGATTTATCCAAAGAAAATATTGTCGATAATCAAATACAAAAACTTCAAGAAAAACTTACGCAATGTATTCATATAATTGTTAAAGTTATTCAATCACATGAATGTCGAAATGTTCAAATAGTTTATCAAGATATTGTTTCGAATTTACGTGAAATTGTACCGAATTTCGAACTTTCAGATATGATTGGAATTTCAGCGGAAATTATTAATCCTGAACAATTTAAAACAAGTGTTGAACAATTGAAAAATAAACGAGAAGAACTTCAACAAGAAATTCTTTCATATCGATCAGAATTCAATCAAGAAGCAATTGAAGCATGTAAACAACTTATCGGACAACGTCTTGGTTGTCAAGCTTGTTGTCCGGGATGTGGATCAAAATGTGATAATATAGAAAATGGTCATACTGATCATAAATCTTCGAATCATTTAGCCATGGCTTTTAAAGGTTGGCGTCATGTTAATGATCAAACACCTTCATTATCATTATGTTATCAACAATGGCATAAAGGCGCACTTATTGTTGGTAAGCAAAAATTTCAACCAAAACGTCAATTTTATGTTGATCGAGCTTCAAATTGGTTAGTTGATCTTGAAGAGAAATCTAAAACAGGTAAATTTTGTGAAGAAAATGTTCCACCACCTGAACAATGCCGTGCTTGGATGGCTGTTAGATTAGCATTAGTTCGACATTATAATATGAAAGATTATTCAACATACGATGAAAAATTATATCCAACTGATATCAAAAGTGTTTCGATTAATTTTCAACCGACATGGTAGAATGAAAAATGAAATCGTTTTCTTCTTTTTTTGTTTTAATAATGAACTTTTTCAGTAAAAAAAAATCCAATCTTTTCTTTTTCAGATAGATTAAAAAATGGCTGGATCGATAAATTCTCCATTAACACCAGGTATGACTCGTATTATCAGTGATCAAGAATCATTAGCAGCACATTGTCAAAAAGAACAAGATCGTTTAATTAATGAACAAAAGAGATTCTTTCAAAAAAATGAAAATTTATCTGAAGCTGTTGAAAAAGATCTTGACGAAGCTGATATTTTATTAGACAAAATGCGTAAAGCTGCTTTAGAAATTGAACGAATCGAAACAAAAAAACGAAGTCTTCGAGAAGAAGAAATCGAACTCCATCGTGATCTTGATAATAAGAAATTTCATTTAGAAAATATCAAAGAAAATTTCCAAAAATGTCAAAAAGATATTGAAGATCAAACTTCTTTACGAAATCAATGTGACGAACAACTTAGAATTCTTCAAGAAAAATTAGATAAACTTAAAGAAGATCAAAGCGATTCACAATCATTAAATCAATTACAAACAGAAATTGATAAATTAAATGATGAAATTACGAAATATAATGATTTAATTAAAGAAACTTCTGAGAAATTACGAAATCTTGCACAACAAATTCAAGATTTACATTTAGAAATTGAACAAAAAGAAAAAGAATTAGAATTATTAAATAAAGAAATAGAAAAATTAGAAAATATTCAACAAGACTGTGAAAAAAAACAACGACAACTTGAAAATAAACGAAAACAACTTGAAAATCATCTTGCTGATTTACAAAAAATTATAAATGAAAAAGAAGCTAAAGAAACTCATACAGAAGAACAAATCAATAAATTTCAAGAGAAATTAATCGAACTAGAAAAGAATTTAGATCTTATTCAACAAACAATTGATAAACTAAATCAAGATTTATTTGAATTAAATGCAAATCTTGATGAACAAAATAACGAATTAAAACAATTACAAACTGACAATAAAAATTTCGAAAAAATAAAACATGAACTTGAACAAGAAAAACAAAAATTAATTAATGATCGACAAACACTTAATAATCAATTAGATAATTTCAAACAACAATTAAAAATAGTTAAAGATCAACTTGATGATACTC